ATTTAGAATTATCGAGGTTCAAAAATTTATTATCGTAATAATTAATGATATAAAATTGATATATTTAGCAATGTATGGAAGGGTATCGCCGCCAATATTAAATGCTCTGTTAAATGTTGTTTCCATTGATTATATGTAACCAGCGGCTGCCAGGCAGGATACGCCCACAGATGGATAGAGGACAAGCTAAAAACAAACATGATTTTTTGTACAATCAGGGGCAATAATCCAGAAAGTTATGAACTGAAATGTGCAAATATCAAAAGGGAAAGAGATCTTTGGGATATAAAGATATGTTTTAAGTTTCATCAAAATCGGCTAACAATTGTGACCTCTAGAGGGTCCACAACCTTCTTATTACACACTTCTACACAATTTGCGTACAAAGAGCGGCCATTTTGTTGGGCAGTTTCATTTCAATTTTCCCAAAATACGAATTCAACCTTCATTATGGCAGAATGGTGATGTTTTTAAAGGGTTTTTAAAATCGGAAAAAAATTGTGAGCTCTAGAGAATCTGCAAGCTAAAAATGCGATTTTTCGAACAATCAGGGGCCATAATCCTGGAAGTTAAGTTCGGGTATCCGCGATTATCAAAAGGAACCAAGATCTTAGTGTGTAATGGTTATATATTCAAACATTTTTTTAAATCGGATAAAAATTGTGACCTCTATGGGGTCCACAAGCTAAAAACGTGATTTTCGGTACAATCAGGGGCCATAATTCAGGAAGTTATGGTCTGATATGCGTGAATATCGAAAGTAACCGAGATCTGTGGGTTATAAACATGCATTTCAAGTTTCATCAAAATCAGATGAAAATTGTGACCCCCAGAGGGTCCACAACCCTGATTCACAATATTTTGAAACTATTTGCGAATGAGGGACGACCATTTTGTCCGTTAGTTTCGGTCTGATTTTTACAAAATGTGAACTCAACCATCCTTAGGGTGTAACGGTGATATATTGTAACGGTTTTTTAAATCAGATAAAAATTGTGACCTCTACGGGGTCCACAAGCTAAAAACACGATTTTTCGTACAATCAGGGGTCATAATTCAGGAAGTTATGGTCCGATATGCGCGAATATCGACAGGAACCGAGATCTGTGGGTTATAAACATACATGTCAAGTTTAAACCAAATCGGATAAAAATTGTGACCTCTACAGTGTTCACAAGCTAAAAACGTGATTTTTCGTACAATCAGGGGCCATAATCCATGAAGTTACAGTCCGATACATGCCAATACCGAAAGGAACCGAGATCTTAGGGTGATAAACCTATATTTCAAGTTTCATTGAAATCGGATAAAAATTGTGACCTGTAGACTGTTCACAAACAATTGTGGACGGACAGGGGCGACGACAATATACGTCCACATGAAAATGTGAAACTTCCAATCAGTAGAAACAGGAAACACAAACCAAATACAGACGGTTTGATGGGATCAATTTTGACTGAGTCAAAATGATGCATTTGATATTCAGATAAGTTGATATAAAATAATTAATAGAATACAATATCAAAAAAACATAGTTTTATCCAATGTTTCGTCAGTAAAAATACTAACTTCTTCAGGGATGAAGAACTAAATTCAAAATGACTGGAAGTCAGTTATGACATCATAGGAAGTTATGACATCGTGGGAGTGATGACGTCATAGACTTAGATACATGACGTGAAAGGTTAGCTTAACTAAAACTTAGGTAAAATTTTACAAGTTAGGAAAACTTATGCATGATTATGAATGATTTTGAAACCCCCTGGATTTAACTCATTTAAACCGTTAGGCCAAACTGAATCAAGTCTATGAATCCACAGACTTTCTGCTGTGTTCAATTTTTTCTGATCTTTATCAGGAATGTTGTATAGGCCTATTGTTTAACATGTAAAACCTGTAGTATGCAACATGTAGGCCAAACCATTACTCCTTTCAGCACTCGACTTAATAAGCACAGAAGTAATATAAAGCTTAAAAAACCTGGCCATTCCCCCCATGTAACCTCCCATTTTAATATACCAGGTCATGATTTCGTGTGTACCATAGTACGAAAAATTCCTGATAAAGATCAGAAAAAATTGAACACTGCTCACTAAAAATTCCTTCGAAGATCAAAAGTTGTTATATGAGACTGTAAGAGTATATCTGACAATTCAAAAAAGTAATTGGATGTTATTAGATAAGAGAACACGAGAAAAATAGAAACAGTCCGTACATTCACGGGTGTTTATTCATTCTATACTTATAAAAATATGGTAATGCACAGACTTTTTCTATTTTTCTTTCATGTTCTCTTATCTAGTGACAGTCAATTTTGTTTATGAATTGTCAGATATCCTTTCACAGTCCCATACTACGGAGCCCCTTAAGCGCAATTTTCGATACTTTTTTGCCCCTTGCTAACGTTTAGTATACAAAACTTTTAATATCAAGGATTTAGCTGTTCAAGTCATAAAATTTCATTGAAAATCAATATACTTGTTCGTCTCAAGCTCTTAAACTCTGTGTATCAATCTGAAGTCAATCGGATGATAACTTTAGCCTCTAGAGCGTCACAAGATTTTTCAAAGTGATCAAGGGCCATAACTGTGACAGTAATTATCGAAAATCACTGAAAATGAATAGACTTCTTTGTCTCCTGACCTTAAACACTGTGTATAAATTTAAAGTCAATCGGATATTGACTTTAGCCTCTAGAGCGTCCACAATATTTTTAAAGTGATCAAGGGCCATAACTCTGCCAGTAAATATCGAAAATCACTGAAAATGAATAGACTTCATCTCATGACCTTAAACACTGTGTATAAATTTAAAGTCAATCGGATATTAACTTTGGCCTTTAGAGCGTCCACAAGATTTTTTGAAGTGATCAAGGGCCATAACTCTGGCAGTAATTATCAGAAATCGCTGAAAATCAATAGGCTTCTTTGTCTCATGGCCTTAAACACTGTATATAAATTTCAAGTCAATCGGATATTAACTTTAGCCTCTAGAGTGCCCACAAGATTTTTTGATGTGATCAAGGGCCATAACTCTGGCAGTAATTATCGAAAATCACTGAAAATCAATAGGATTCTTCGTCTCATTAACTTTAGCCTCTAGAGCGTCCACAAGCAATTGTGGACGCCGGACCGACAGACGGGCGGGGGTGACGACAATATACGACCACATTTCAATCTGGGCGTATAAAAAGGAACGAACCTATGATGAATTTTAACGTTATTGGTGATTTTGTTTTTGATAATCTGGATATCACAGTGTATTTTGTGATTTACATGTAGTTATAGAATAAATCCATGTACAGAACTCAATGACCACTGAATACCACTCGGGTTATTCAATGGTTCAAGAGAGTGTATCCCTTCGCAAGTATTCCATGAGAGAGAGAGAAATGGGGTTTAATGTCCACTCGACACAAACTAGGTCATTTCGGGACTAACATATGGTTTAATTTTATTTCAATAATTCGATTGCGCGTAGGAGGACCCGGAGAAAACCCACGAGGTTGGACAGGCGACTCGAAACCAAAGTATTCCATGAGCTACTGTTTTTTTTTCTGCCGGTGTTGATTGTGCTGTTATTCAGGTGTCGACGAACAATGCTAAAGTATCAAGGCCCTGTTTCTCGAAATCTTAACTAAAGATTAAATCCAAATTTTAGTAGATACTTCAATTTTGATTGGCTAAGCACTAAAATCCATCTAATATTATCCAATCAAATTACTAAAATTTGGATTTTATCTTAGTTAAAATTTCGTGAAACCGGCCCCTGGTGTCGAGGAACAATGCTAAAGTACATGTATCAGGGGCCTGTTTCTCGAAATCTTAACTAAAGATTAAATCCAAATTTTAATAGATACTTCAATTTTGATGGGCTAAGCACTAAAATCCATCTAATATTATCCAATCAAATCAAATTACTAAAATTTGGATTTTTATCTTAGTTAAAATTTCGTGAAACAAGTCCCTGAAGTCAATCTAGCAATGGCCAGAGAGGGATTTCTCAGGCCATTGCTTCAGGAATATAACAACACCTAGGCAACCTTGACTCACTGAGATCAGAATATATATCTTCTGGCTAGTCCCATGGCTATTCCATGTGTTGGAACCTGAGATTTGTGACGATGTAGACATGCTTACAACTCTTAAATTTGACAATTAAACATACATTATGCAAGAGCTACATCTGCCTATTGCAAGTCTTTCTTTAGGCCTGAAATGTTTTCTAAAGTATTAATTAGACATTAATTAACTGATCCAGGCCTTAATCAACTCTCGATGGCATCAGATTTCTCCGATATTAAATAGATTAGAATGGTTCAGCGATACTTTGATACCGAGACTAAGCTTCGATCAACCAGTACGGTGGTTGAAATTATTGCACCACATCTGTAAAACCTTCAAAGGTTAATATCTTCGCTTGCAATAGAGTAATTTGAATGAAATTTTCAAATTATTCATTTTACAACATCTACTTTCGAACTATTATAGCAAGAATGGCCAATTCTTTATCTAAATCTTACATAATGTATCTTTAAATAGCAATCAGCCAAAGGTAATTGACTTACCCGTACTTGGTGTTCAGAAATAGGGAGAGAGAGAGATAAATGAAGTTTAACCTGCACTCAACAAAAACTAGGTCATTTCAGGACTAACACATGGTTGAATTTTTTATTTCAATAATTCACTTGCGCGTAGGGGTCTTTAGCAGTGGGAGGAAACCGGAGGACCCGGAGAAAACCCACGAAGTTGGACAGGCGACCCTACACCTTGTCACGTAGAACCAGGGAATCGAAAATCCCCAGCTCCTTGAATATTATAAACCTACAAGACATCTGTGAATCTCTTCCGACTCATCAATACTTATACAGCGCCCTCATAATTTTTCATCATATGGTAACCAGTCTTTCTATATACAGGCCTTCCACTATTCTAATTCAAATGGTAACAGGTCATTCTATATACAAGCACCATTGTTATAGAATAAATTACTAATTCAAATTCGTAATATCACTGATATTGATACATTTAAAACTAAAGACATAATTATATAAAAACAGCTTTTATACAGTTGTCCATTTATATAGATTATCCAGAGCTTTTTAATTTCTAAATACTGTACATACAATTTATATATTTTATCAAATATGTTCTTTATGTATTTTCATTATGTAAATTAATATTGTCTTGATCTCCGACCTGCATCAGGGAACCACACCCGAAAATCTGGATGAACTTTCTCGCCCAATACATGGATCAAACACCCAACCTCCAGGCTAGCGAGCCAGCGTCTTACCCACTTAGCCACCGTGATCTTCCAGCTACATTAGAGAAATCTTTGATGGCTTCCGGTCACCTAGACATTTCCAATCAGGTTTACATTAATGAGATTTTTATTCTTTTTTTCTAGAATGAGTTCTCGTGTGTTCTCGTAGACCACTACCAGTAGAAAACGATTTGCTACAGACAATGCACTGATAAGGTTTTTCACCTGTGTGAGTTCTGATATGTTCCTTTAGATTACAATTGTGGGTAAATGATTTATTACAAACATCACATTTATATGGTTTCTCGCCGGTATGCGTTCTCATGTGGCTCCTTAGATTAGTACAAGATTTATAACAAATATCACACTTATAAGGCTTCTCACCTGTATGAATCATTACGTGCCTCTGTAGATCAGCGCTTCTGGAAAATGATTTACTACAAACATCACATTTATAAGGTTTTTTTTCAGTACGAACTTCGAGTTCCCCTGTTTCAGACAATGATTGAATACTGATATTATCTTTTTCTCTCGTATGAGTTCTCCTGTGTCTCTGTAGAATACTACTAGTGGAGAATAATTTACTACAAAAATCACACTTATATGGTTTTTCACCTGTATGAATTCTCGTGTGAATTTGTAGGGAATAAATCTGAGTAAATGTTTTATTACAAACATCGCATTTGTGAGGTTTGTCGCCAGAATGAATGTTCATGTGACTTTGTAAACTACCTTTGCAACTAAATGATTTACTACAAACATCACATTTATAAGGTTTTTGACCAGTATGAATCTTTTTATGGTGCTTTAAATTACTATTGGTACTAAATGATTTACTACAAACATCACATTTATATTCGCTTTTGATGGTTTGTCTTTGCTTAGTAACATACATTTTCTGATGCCTTTCTAAATTTGTTTGTGATTTAAATTTTTGATAGCACAAATCACACTGATAAACACTTTCGACATCTTCAGTTTTCTCTTTTGTAACATTACTATATTCATCTGCATCATCAGTTTTCTCTTCTTTAACATGCCTATATTCATCTACATCATCAGTTTTCTCTTCTTTAACATGACAATATCCATCTACATCATCAGTTTTCTCTTCAAATTGAACATGACAATATTCATCTACATCATCAGTTTTCTCTTCTTTAACATGTATCTTATTGTGTTTTTCTAAATGATCATATTGTTTAAAAATTTCATCGCATACAACACACTGATGGAAAGTTAAAACATCATTAGTTGCCTGTAATATATAAAAGTTATAATATCATTAGTTTCCTGTAATATATAAAATTATAACATCATTAGTTTCCTGTAATATATAAAAGTTATAACATCATCAGCTTCGTAAGAGCCGCTATCGCGATGAAAACGTTAGCATAAAAATGTAGTTTTATTTTGCCATCTTTAATTTCAATTATATATATATATATATATACAAAAAAGTTTCCTTGACCTACTCCCAGAGAAATATATATCAAATCAGGAAAAAATATCAAATTAAGTTTAATTCCAGATTATATCAAATTAAGTATAATTCCAGATAGTAAAATATAACATCTAACATTATTAATATTCAGTTATCCAATTTTCCGATTTAAGGTGGTCATATATTAGGTGGAAAAGGTGATTTTGAGATTATGGTTATACATATGATTTTATTAGCTTTTCATGTAGATCTCATCATTCTTCTCACAAAACTTTTTACAGATTCAAAATCGGATGAAATTTTTTTTTTATTGAGGCTCAAAGTTGCAATTTTTGACCATTTGCGGAAGAAAGGTTATTCAACACTTTGAAAAAGTCATTTTTGGTGTTTTTTGTGATGCCATATTTCATTTCATATCAAAACTATCAAAATTGTAGATGTAAATTCATGAAATACAACTTTAAGGCTAATAATGTTTTAATTTTCACATTTGTGTGACAATTACTCTGGTTTCCCCAGCAACTCCAAAATACCTAGGTTTTCTCAAAAATTCCATTTTGTCAACGTGATTTTGGTCAATTTTTTCATCAAAAATGGTCTTGTCCATGTTACATCTGAAATATTGAACCTGGTTGTTATGCATTTTAAAATCAGTAGCTTTCAAGTAAGGTTAACAGAAAAAAACCAGCGGCTACCAGGCAGGATACGCCCACATTTTCGAGAGATGGATAGAGAACGAGCTAAAAAGAAAGTGATTTTTCCTACAATCAAAGGCCATAATTCAGGAAATTACAATTCGATATGCGCAAATTTCGAAAGGAACTGAGATCTTTGCGTTATAAACTTACATTTCAAGTTAAAACAAAATCAGATAAAAATTGTGACCTCTATAGGGTCCACAACCTTGATATACCATATTTTTTGGACTATTTGAGAACGAACGGTGGCCATTTTGTCTGTCAGTTTTGGGCCGATTTTCACGAAATTCGAACTCAGTCGTCCTTAGGGTGTAACGGTGATATAATAATACGTTTTTTTAAATCGGATAAAAATTATGACTTCTATAGGGTCCACAAGCTAAAAACGTGATTTTTCGTACAATCAGGGGCCATAATTCTGGAAGTTACGGTCCGATAAGCGCGAATATCGAAAGGAACTGAGCTCTTTGGGTTATAAACTTAAATTTCAAGTTTCAACAAAATCGGATAAAAATTGCGACCTCTATAGGGTCCACAAGCTAAAAACGTGATTTTTCGTACAAACAGGGGCCATAATCCATTAAGTTTTGATCCGATACATGCCAATATCGAAAGCAGCCGAGATCTTTTGGGGATAAACCTATATTTAAAGTTTCGTCAAAATCGGATAAGAATTGTGACCTGTAGAGAGTCCACAAACAATTGTGGACGTCTGGACGGACGTCTGGACAGACAGAGGCGACGACAATATACGTCCACATAAAAATGTGGGCGTATAAAAATAGTAAAAATATCAATATGCCTTCTCTCAAGAGCTGGATATATGTTCATGTTTGAACAATTGTCCGCGGCACACAATTGCCTATTTTTGGGGCGTTTTGGGGGACATTAATAAAATAAGAAGGAATGAAGATAAGAAAGTGAAATTATGGGAATTTGTTAATAAGTTTGTGGATTTTTAAAATTACATATTTCCAATCTGCCATATATTATCAATTTTGGTTGTCATAGCAACCAAAAATGGACAAAATGCAATTTTTACCATTTTCAACCCTATTTACCATAACCCAAAACGTCATACCACATTTTAAAGTAAGGAGTTTAAAATATTTGAAACCCATGTAATATCAAATGATATGGATTGTGTAAGTTTGAGAAAAATATGAAGGAGGTTAGGTTGTTATCATAGCAACCAGTTATTTTTTTTCAAAAAACCATTATTTTCCAATAAATATGACATCAATATTGATAATTGTATTATTTAAAAATCACAAGCAATTGGGTAAGATTTTAAAAAATAAATAAAATCAAAATATTTATTCGTCTTCACTTAAGAGCCGGAAAGGGCTCAAGGGGTTCACTTTCGAAAAAACATTTGGCTGTGCAAATTGTTCAATTTGGCAGTTAGACATAAATAAAATATGAAGAAATTAAGATCTTGAAGAGGTATTTTGTTTATAAAAAAATATGTTTGTGAATTATTAAAATTACTTATATTTACTCTTGCATATTACTTAATATTTAGTTGTTATAGCAACCAACAATGATAAAAAAAAAACATCTTCAAAAAGGCAATGTTGTACCATTTTCAATGGTGTTTACCATGACAAACCAAATGATCACAAGCAACATTTTAAGTATGGTACCAGTAAGCATTTTATCATACATTTACAACCCATGTAATATAAAATATTATGAATTGTATAATTGTAGTGAAATATTATGGACTTTGGGTGATTGCCATAGCAACTACATAATTTTAAAAAATAAGACAACAGTTTTCACTATCATTGTTCTCAGCATTGGTTTGCTTGGTAGCTTACATCATTGTTACGAGAAGAATTCTGCTTTGACATATTATTTTCTACTCAGAAGATTGACCAATAAAAAAATATTCTCTAAAGAGTAGGCTACAGTAAAAGTAGTTACTGATACTCACTGATACTATAGTGATAGGCTATGATTATGATGTTGTCATGTTATAAAGGCCTTAGGCCTGGAAGCTACATTTTGACTCAAGGTCAAACAATTGTTTTGTTTTTATTTCACTTTTGAATATTTTTATTATTCCTTCAAATCAGTATGTAGCCTATTGAGCAACTTCATTTTTATTTTGTAGGCTATATTTTCATCAATGTAAATATCAAATCAAGGCCTAAAAGGTAGGCCTTACGGCTTACGTTTGTCGCTCCTTGCAACAAATATCTCGATATTTACCAAAATATTCAAATTCGTCCGTAATAAAAAAATAGGTGCACCTCGTTATTTTTCATATTTAATTCCCGTATGGTATTCAAATTTATGTCAGTAATATTCCTACAAAATTATGTTATGTCGTAATACGATAGAATGAAAGCGTGCCGACTACTGCCGATCCGTACTGTTTCAAATTCCTCCAAAATTACCGTATTTTTCGGGTCATATAAGTTGCTACATTTTTCAGCAGAAGTCCCGCATTCGTCTTATACTCCGTTACGACTCATGTACAGAGGGTAAGAAAATGATATCACGAAATAAACGTCGCTCTACCACAAAAGCGAGTGACACCATCCGCTAAATAATCGCTTTCTATTCTAGCACGCGCTATCGTCTAAAACAATTAAGTACTTACACTATTCCAATCGACATATTCGTCAACATTGCCTAGATCACTTATTTCATTATTTAAAAACATAAACCCCATTCAAAATATGATCATAAATCCGAGGGTAGCACCTTTTCTTTGACATTAGAAGCGTGTATTTCACACAAAAACAAACGCCTTAAGTTTTCTAGGTGACACTGGGCAAACTAATTACAAGACATGAAAAGTAAACGGCATTGCATTACTACTCACCCTTAAGTTAGTAGACGGCTCTCGGTAAAGTGGTAATTTGGCATAAAATCTAAACGCCTTAAAATGAAGGCCTTGTCTAAAAACTAAACCCCTTTCAATTCTAAATGGTAGTGTTCATTTCTAAAAAACATCCCGAGAAACTGGACGGTCGTAAAGCAGACGATCGATGTCAAAAGTAAACGGTGTTCTTAATCTACACGGTAGCACAAACTGGGTGGTTTTTGGTGAATCTTGACGGCATTTAACACATTCTTGACGGCAATCTATTAGCTGGATACGTGTATTAAATTCTAGATGATAGTTTCTTTCCTTTTTTCGTAAAATCTGGACGATACCCGGTCCCTAGTGTATAATACCACATGGAATGCTATTTGTGACGTATATTTGCTGTGACCTCCAAATTCACGTGCGCGGGACAACATTTTGCTCACTTCCAAAAATCTCACGGACGGCGCAGTCAGGCAGATAACTGTATGTTTATATAAGGACAATTCATTCACCATTGAACCAGTCTGGCAAAGGGTAATCATCAGAGTGCCTGTAGTCTGTAGTGAAGTTGAAAAATCCATTGATTCAGAAGAGTAACAGAAATTGATGGTCGTATTAACAACAATAGCCACAGGACTATTTTTACGACTATTGAGGGCTCTGAAAGCATCTTCGTAACAATAGCCTGAGGACTATTTTTACAGTTTGTCGTAACATTACAATAGCCACTGCCTTAATATTAATAGGGATTTCAGGTCAATTGCCTTTAGCGTGAAATCGGACAGCCAGAGGCTGAAATATACCCCACTTCAATCTCGATTCTGAATTACTATTTTATGTAAATGCATCAAGGCTCTACACAGCATTTTGAACTTACTTGTGCAAACATAAGTAAATTTTTAAAACCACTAGCCAAACAAAACTTTCAAAACCACTAGCCAAACAAAATTTTCAGTTGCCAAGTCTGAAGATTAGAATAATTTGTCGTATGATATAGCTAAATTATATTGTGAATATACATAACTCGTCGTCCTATAATAATAATAAAAAAAGATGTTTTAAACATTTTTTTCCGACTGGGACTCACTTCAAGACTAAGACGGCGAAGCTTGTAATTTTGCTTGTTTGGGTGGTGTAGCGTCAGTAGCATGACTATCATCATTTTTCCCCAACTGAGACTCACTGCGAGACGAAGTTACTTTACTAGTAAAGTAAGACGATATAGGTTTGATTCGTCTGCTAGCCATGCTGTCAGCTGTCTCGCAAACTTCCGATAAATACAGCGCATGCGCAATGAGAATTTCCTCGCAGAGGACAATGAGATTGACCCAATTTCAAACCAGGAAAGTAACAAGAGTGACATTTGACCGGGATCATTGCCGATTACGTTATCTTTACGGAGAAAAGTTCAGATAGCTATAGTGTTAATTGGGGACTTCAAGATATATGTTCACTCGCCAGAAACCTAGCATTTATAAATATCTGGTCGCCATTGTCAAAATTCACTCGCAAATGCGAGTGTTTCAGTCGCATTGTAGAGCCTTGAAATGCATTACTAGCAATTGTATTGCAATAGTTTAATATCAATCTCAATATCTGCAAAGATTCGGGCTAAAAAATTATTGAAATGTAAGCGAAATTACCGTTTGTTTACATGAGAAGCTCGCGGGAAAATACCGCTCTGACGTCACGCGGTCTGAGATTTTCCATTGCTACGACTCACTTCATTGGTGAATCCGCACCTTAGTTACCGGGGGATTTTGATATATGCTTGTTGATACCACGTGGTCGGACAATTAGACCCAGAGAAAATGGGATTTATCTGTTTTGATGACTGAAAATTGCTAAATTTCGACTAAATATAGAAAAAATTTCTTGAGGTATCATCCAGATTATAAATATTTGACATATTATCATTCAAATTATTACGATTTTAATAAATTTTAGCTGACAATAACATGCGTATTTCAGTTTTAAAATTGGTACTAGCGATTCTGAAGGGAAAATACCACTTATGACGTCACTCAAATATGACTGAAAAGCACTCACTTTGGTGCCATGCCACGCATTGACTGGTATAGAGTAGGTACGCCAGTGAAGCGGTGAACCGCTGACATAATTTCGTCGTCGCGAGTCACGCTTCAGATACGTCAGTGCGATTTGCCGTATCGGCTTTTCTTCCTCGTCGTATTGTTATTGGTACGAAACTGCGGCTTCAAATGAGGTTATTTTCGTAAATAAAAGGCTAGCTTTTCGCCTCGTTTTCGAATTTTTACTCTAGCTGCTCCATGTGCAGAGAAATCTAAACATGAAAATGAAAGTAGAAAACAACACGATTTTTGGGACGGATACCAGAATAGCGTAGGGTTAAAAATATATACATTAGAAAACATATATATTAAACTTTAATTCTGCGAATTTTCAACGAAATCAGTAGGTGCGGAGCTAAAATATGTAGTGCGGAAAATTTTTGATCCAGTTTAGCCATGACCGCCATGTAAGAAAGTTAGTGAAATTTTACCGCTAGTGACTGCACGCGATGCCCTCACTTTTCCTTCTTTGTTCTTCAGACAAAAATGGTGTTAATTAGCGACAATTAATTTGGCATAACTCAATAATTATAGGGCCTCTCAAGCTCATTTTGGTGTCATTGAAAAGCTGTTGGACAGCCCTTTCCAGAAATAACAGAATTAAAGCCATACGGGATAGTTGAATTTTTTGTTGTCATACCTATATAGAGCATTTTGATTACATTATTGACGTCGATCTCGGATTTTAAAATTCCATAACTTTGGATCTAATTAGAATATTTTGATGAAATAAACAAATTTGGGTAGCATTTTAGGTACATTTTCACAAAATATTTTTACTTTTTTTTTTCTGTCATTTGAAACTTTGACCTGAAACCCCTAATATTAATCTTAATCTAAAAATACTAAAATCACCTCACCATTGTTTTGTTAACTTGTTTTGTTGTTTATTTGTGAAGCTGTTGTGTGACTGATTGATGGTTGTTTATGATAAAAACACAGCAGTGGATTGCTGATCGTCTCTTCTACAACTACAAGTCAGGAAAATATCTGTTCATTTTATAAACAAGTCTTCGATAAAGTACAAATTAAAATAAGGTTGGCTTCCGTAAAATGTTACGTCACGGGAAAAGAATTCGTTTCCGGTAGAAGGTTGTATACATTATATAGTCCCGGATCGCTCCAACCCGAATGCGGTTCACAAAAATACTATTTCATTTGAAATTCACTTCATTCAGGAAAAAGTTCTGATTTCATCTTTTGCCCTTTTATCGAAATATCGCCTCTAAATTCTCGGATCTTCACTTTATTTGAATGTAGTCTGCATTGCTAAGAACATAATGTTGTATAATTATGTATTATAAATGCCTTTTACGCGTGACGTATTTCCGGTGTCTATTTTTAGCCTGGCCTTTTTCAACACGGGTCTTAATATGGGAAATGCTAGGGAAAATGGGTTTTTTCCTCTTTTTCTCTGTATACAAAAAGTATTCTTGAATGCCACTCTTGTTGTAAGTTGCGTGTAGCATTCGTAATAAATTACCTATTTCAAATCGTGTCTAAATTATTTTTGTTTCGTTTTATTGACGATATACTGCGTTGTAGCAGACGATATATGGCAAGCTCGCACACGGTCAAGTTTACCGCAGTACGCAAAAGCATTACAAAGATGGATTGCTGTATGAAGCCGATTTATATGTTTTGTTTTAATTTTACTGCAAACAATTAATAGATAACATCTGTTTGCTTGTAAAATGCCATGACATAGAGCATAAGACTAAGAGTAAATAATAGAATGGGTTAGAGATGTTGACCTGCGGTTCCACGAAAGAATTATTCAAGGCGATATTAAAATTTAAGCACGACCGTAGCACATCTAAGAAAAGAGAACAAATAATAATCACGATGTATAGAATTCACCGAGTCCAGTTACATATTTTCATTCAACAGTTGTTCTCTGAACCAAATACTGAATTAGAAATTGATAAAATGGACGCAAATGTATCGTTCTTCTTCTTGGTTGCAGCAAGATAAACTGATTGGATTAAAATTTCACTGAGTGCCAAAAGCTGAGCCAAGACGATTTATGTGGTTACAATTAACAGAAAAAAAAACGGTTTTAAAAAATATTTACAGATTCAACTTGATCGTCGTTTTATTCTTTCCGTTATTATATCCCATCAAGAGGAAACTTTCTAAAAATGGCTGAAGTTTTACCCCGTGCACCAAACTATTTTATCATTGATTAGAGCCGTCTAAACGCGGGGAAATTTACAATAGATATTGGCTAACAGCACGCATGCATAAACAATCTTATTTGCATATTGCATACTATTTATAGTATTATTAGCTGGAATTATTTTCAAGTTAACAGCCTCAAAGACCAACATAGTACCGTGTTTTTTGTCGAGTAGGGTAGCATGCAGTGCTATAGCAGACGATATATCAACCTCGCAAAGAACTGTTCAGTCGACAGTTGAATGTAAATAGGATAGACCATTTAAAACTTTTGTGTTAATAGTCCCGTAATTAATATATAACATCTGTTGGACCTTAAAATGCGTAATAAACTTGACTTAATTCTAGTTCGGACCATGAGCACGGATCAGTCATCCACTTGTTTCCTCAACTGCAAACGGACAATTACGGGTCTTGTAAACTTGCCGTATCTTTCCTATATCAAAGTTTTTGTAAATATCGCTTTCTGGCATCGGTCGGTAAAGCTTACATGTATATAGAAATGGCGTTCAGTTCCATTTTATGTAAAAGAAGCTTGCTGTACGACGGGTATGTTCACAAAAAAACACACACTGGCCTATGGGTTTTAGTCTACGATTAAGGCCATGGTCTGCGCATGACCGAAAATGACGTCAAAAGGGAAACCCATAAAAGCTCCAATAAATATGTATTATATGCCTCTCAATTAGGTATGTCTAAACTCCCCATAAATTCAAAACAAGAGTGTGTTTATCTCCTAATTATCCAAGTCACTTTAAAGCTATACTACACCAGATACTTTAAAGCTATATTACCACAGATCCTTTAAAGTTATATTACCCCAGATCCTTTAAAGCTATATTACCCAAGCCACTTTAAAGTTATAATTCCTCATATACTTTAAAGGGGAGAGAGAGAAATGTGGTTTAACGTCCACTCGACACAAACTAGGTCATTTCAGGACTAACATATGGTTTAATTTTATTTCAATAATTCACTTGTGCGTAGGGGTCTTTAGCAGTGGGAGGACCCGGAGAAAACCCACGAGGTAAGTTGGACAGGCGACCCTACTCCTTGTCACGTACAACTGGGGATTCGAAACCACGCCAGTTGACTCAATGACAGGCCTTATGATACAGAGCGAACGTGCTAACCATTTGGCCACCCAACCCTCATACTTTAAAGGTATATTACCAAAGCTACTTTAAAGTTATAATTCCCCATATATTTTAAAGCTATATTACCCAAGCGATTGAAGGAGGCAGGCCACATCTGACCAGATCACCACTAAAAAGGCCACACTGATCCGCAGTGAATATTTGCTTGGCCGCGACAATCACTGATAAGGATGACATTGATGCGGCTTAATGAGCTAGAAATATTAACTTTTTTCCTGCGACAAATTAAATTCTAAAACATTTTTTGTATATATTGGAAAAATAAATAACAGCGTTTGACGTATTTGTAGGTAAAAATTATTTCCTATTTAGTGTAAATGGGTATTAAAATGACTAAAATGCAGCATTCTCTCCGAAGCAGTTATGTCTTATGTAAACAATGCACGTGCCATTCAGCCAATGATTCACACCGCGTGCTGTGACAGCACGTGTTAAGGCAGTAATCTATGACAGAGGTATTATACGAGACTCGTAATTCTCTGTGAAACAGATTGTAAAAAGGCATCCTACGATTGCTACGTTCAATCATACTCCTTGTCCTTGCAGTGTTTCGTTTGATTAGACCTAATCTTAATACCTTAAATCACTGTCCAAAGTTTTAGGGAAGACCCCATATTAAACGAAGGGCTGTCATGATGCTGTATTTGGGATAGATTGGAAGCCTTCAGGGTCCAAATGTAAAAAATGGATGTGTTAGCAACGAATGGTTTTTAACGATATGTAACTCAATATTAATGAACTGAAATGAAATGAAATGGGAGTTTAATGTCCTACTATTCTGCTCCTACTGGGCTAATGAAGACAGGCATACGCCATACAGTGTGCTATGAGGGGAATTCTGTCGGGGCAGCGGCACTACAGCCTACTCAAATATCGATTTTTCCAACTGCCAAGGGATCTTTTATGTGCATGTCAACATATACACGGGACCTCGGTTTTTCGTCCCATCCGAACAACTAGACAGTTGTCCTTTTCAGGCCCTCCATCCTGCACAACTGACAAGGGGAAACCATGCTGGAAAATCGAGATGAACTTTCTCGGCCAATGCAGGGATCGAACGTGAGACCTCCAGGCTAGCGAGCCAGCTCTTTACCCATTTGGCCACCCTGGCTTCCAACTCAATATGTAACTACAACTGAATACTTAACTCAGTTTGAAACGAAATTTGTAACTCAATTTGAAACGGAGTATGTAACTCTGTATGAAATGGAATATGTAACTCAATTTGAAATGGAATATGTAACTCAATTTGAAATGGAATATGTAACTCAATTTGAAATGGAATATGTAACTCAATTTGAAATGAAATATGTACTGTAACTCAATTTGTGCAACCGAATAACAATAAACACAAGTAGAAATTATTTTGCTAATAACTTTTGAACTTGTATTTAAAGGAGCTAAATCGCTAATATTTGGGACCTAGAAAGGGACACAAATGGGGTGCAACGCATATAATAATGTAATGCGAATAAATATAAACTGATTTACATTCAAGGAAACCGGAGGATCAGGAGAAAACCCACGATGTTGGACAGGCGACCCTCCTCCTTGTCAAGTACAACCGGGAAATCGACACCCATCCACTTGATTCTATGACTGATCGTATGATACAGCGCGCGCATGCTAACCATTTGGCCATCCAACTCCCAGATGATTTAGCTGCTGTGGGCGTATGTTTCGTTGCCTGGCAACCTAGTTAGTTTGTTTACATTATGAGCGAAGCCTGTATCACTATTGTGAAATGAAATGAAATGGGGTTTAACGTCCTACTGTTCTGCTCCTATACTGGGCTAATGAAGACGGGCATACGCCATACACTGTGCTATGAGGGAAATTTTGCCCGGACAGCGGCACTACGACCTACTCTTATATCGAATTCCAACTGTAAAGGGATCTTTTACGCGCACGTCAATGTGTACATAGGACCTCAGTTTTTGTCCCATCTGAACGACTAGACAACTGTCCTTGTCAGGCCCTCCGTCCTGCATTACTGGCAAGGGGAAACCACGCTGGAAAATCTGGATGAACTTTCTTGGCCAATACAGGGATCGAACACCCGACCTCCAGGCTAGTGAGCCAGCATCTTACCCACTTATCCACCGTGATCCTGATCACTGTCCGTAGGTTTGTCTTCTGCTATTGTGTGTGATGCTGTCCCCCTGCAGTTACCATTATAAATATAGGCCTAAGATATAAGTGAGTGAATAAAAATGGTAAATTCCATTTGAATGACCATAAAAGGGTTACGCTAGTCATATACAACTAAATGAACCTAATGGGACTAACACGTAGTTCGATTTCATTTCATTCAGTCGCCTGCGCGTGGAAATAAACCTGAGGACTCACTTGAAAGCCATGAGTTGAACAAGTGACCCTACTCCTTGTCAGGTCATTGTAGTTAAAGGACAATGTTAGTGTCAGCCACCCTCCTCGCAGTGTCATGTTGCTGTACTTGGGTTAGATTTGATTGAACGCGAAGAATAGACACAAAATCCTTCAAAAGCTCATGTATCAGAAGTCAATCCAGCAATGGCCGGAGAGGGATTTCTCGGGCCGTTGCTTCAGATATATGGTGTCAGCCAATGTTATATATGTCATAAACCTGGTTTGACGCATTCCAAATATAATTTTAACACAGAAATCTTTACTATGGTTGATCAGTAACAAAGATAAACCGTGTCTATCATGTAATATTGACTGGCCTGTCCAACCGCGTGGGTTTTCTCCGGGTCCTTCGGTTTCCTCCCACTGCTAAAGACCCCTACGCTGAAGCAAATTATTGAAATAAAATTTAACCATATGTTAGTCCCGAAATGACCTAGTTTGTGTTAAGTGGACGTTAAACCCCATTTTTCTCTCTCTAATATTGTTTGACGCAAACATTGTCCTTTAAGAAAGTTCCACCATCCACATTAACGAAACACTGACCCCTATTTTTTAGGAGAACATAATTTGGCATGTTACACATGACAGTTTCTAACACTACGTCCATGACAACACAGACAAACAGCAACCAAAATAAAGATAGGTTGCCAGGCAACGAAACATACGTCCACAGCAGCTGAATCGTCCGGGCAGTCAACAAATGTTGTCGAATAGTTTTACTTTTTTAGGTAATGAAACATTTATAATACACTAAAATCTGATTAAGAGTAACAACTCATTAAGTAATGAAGTCAATCGGATGATAACTTTAGCGTCTAGAGCGTCACAAGATTTTAAAAAGTGATCAAGGGCCATAACTTTGGCAGTAATTATCGGAAATCGCTGAAAATCAATAGGCTTCTTTATCGCATGACCTTAAACACTGTGTATAAATTTAAAGTCAATCGGATATTAACTTTAGCCTCTAGAGCGTCCACAAGATTTTTTGAAGTGATCAAGGACCATAACTCTGGAAGTTATCGGAAATCGCTGAAAATCAAAAGGCTTCTTCTTCTCATGACCTTAAACACTGTGTATAAATTTAAAGTCAATCGGATATTAACTTTAGCCTCTAGAGCGTCCACAAGATTTTTTGAAGTGATCAAGGGCCATAACTCTGGCAGTTATCGGAAATCGCTGAAAATCAATAGGCTTCTTCTCCTTATGACCTTAAACAATGTGTATAAATTTAAAGTCAATCGGATATAAACTTTAGCCTCTAGAGCGTCCACAAGATTTTTTGAAGTGATCAAGGGCCATAACTCTGGCAGTAATTATCGGAAATCACTGAAAATCAATAGGCTTCTTCGTCTCATGGCCTTAAACACTGTATATAAATTTGAAGTCAATCGGATATTAACTTTAGCCTCTAGAGCGTCCACAAGCAATTGTGGACACCGGACGGGGGCGACGACAATATACGACCACTTTTAAATGTGGGCGTATAAAAATGAAATGGTGTTAAACGTCCTACTGTTCTGCTCCGACTGGGCTAATAAAGGCGGAAATACACCATATAGTGGGCGATGAGGGAAATTTTGCAAGGGAGAATCACGCCGGAAAATCCTGATGAACTTTCTCTGCCAATGCAGGAATCAAACACACAACCTCCAGACTAGCAAGCCAGCCTCTTACCCACTTCAAAATTTCCCTCGTAGCGTGATGTATGGCGTATGCCGGTCTTCGTTAGCCCAGTCTGTGCAGTGGCACGTTAACCCCTATTTCATTCCACGAGCATGCTAATGTGTACACGAGACATCAGTTTTCCGTCAAATTAGTACAACTGTTCCTTCACAGGCCCTGCTTTCTGGGCCACTGACAAGGGGGTAACACGCCCGAAAAATCACGCGACCTCTCTCAGTCAACAGCGGGAACCATTCAGGAGTCTCCAAGTTAGCATGTCAGCGGCTTAATCACTAATCGAATAAAACTTACCCTGGATTTCAAATTCACAGCACCCAACGGAAATTCTCTGTATAATAATATTAAAGCCAAACAGCAAGATATTTATATATTGTGTTGTAAACATCTGCTGTACACATGTCATTAATACATGCCGACACCACTAAATATCATCCATTGATTATGCTAATCAAAATATATTGATTTAAAGATGCAACACGCAGGTTTTTCTGTATACCATAAAGAGAGAGAGAGAAATGGAGTTTAACGTCCACTCAACACAAACTAGGTCATTTCAGGACTAACATATTGTTTAATTTTATTTCCTAGCAGTAGGAGAAAACAAGAGGCCAAGAGAAAACCTAGGAGGTTGGAAAGGCAACCCTACTCCTTGTCACATACAATTTTTAGCAATTAGACCCCATTTCTGTATTTATCAAGGAGCCACGGTGGCTATCGTAACAAGTTTATCAGGATTTTCCAGTGTGGTTTCCCCTTGTCAGTGGTGCAGGATGGAGGGTCTGACATGGACAACTGTCTAGTCGGTAGGATGGCACGAAAAAACGAGGTCACATGTAAACATTGGCGTGCAGTTGAAATTCGATGAGTAGTTCATATTGCCGCTGACCTGGCAAATTTTCCCTCATTGCACACTGTATGGGTTATGCTCATATTCATAAGTCAAGTCGGAGCAGAACAGTAGGACGTTAATCCCCATTTCATTTCATTTCGTATTATCTGTATAATTGTTTAAGAAAATACACATGAAAGCAATATTTCAATACTGCCTACCATCTGTCGCAATTTCCTCTCGAGCTAAAAATAAATTATTTATTGGAATGTTTAATTAAACTGAAGTTTTTTTAAAGCTGTAAAATACTGAACCAATAGACCAGTTGTTAATTTATATGATAATTTTAGATATACCATGTGATACGGAAGTTTTCAACACGTTTCAACACCAGTCTTGTTTATAGCTGTAAAATAATATACGATCTATCAGTTCATATGGCATGGGAGAGAGAGAGAGAGAAATGGGGTTTAACGTCCACTCGACACAAACTAGGTCATTTCGGGACCAACATATGGTTAAATTTTATTTCAATAATTCGCTTGCACGTAGGGGTCTTTAGCAGTGGGAGGAAACCAGAGGACCCGGAGAAAACCCACGAGGTTGGACAGGCGACCCTACTCCTTGTCACGTACAACTGGGGAATCGAAACCCCGCCAGTTGACTCAATGACAGACCGTATGATACAGCGGGGTTTGGTGGCCTTGCACATTTGATCATAAGGTATGCCATTCAGCCCAGTGGTGTGGTTTTGTTTACCCGCTTGACAAGGAGTAGGGTCACCTGTGGGTTTTCTCCGGGTCCACTGGTTGTCTCCCACTGTTACAGACCCCTACGCGCTAGCGAATTATTGAAATAAAATATAACCATATGTTAGTCCCGAAATGACCTGTGTCGAGTGGACGTCAACACCCATTTCTCTTTAACATCCCTTTTTTTCCCCTTCTTTTTCGGCGATGGACTGAAAAGGAGTATGTTAGATTCAGGGGTCCCTAAACTAGTTAATGTTATTGCATGATTATGAATTTCCGTAATTTTGTATGAATTTCTAAAATCCCCAAATGACCAAGATATACATGTACTCTAGGAATCACCATTAACAGTCAGTTTTCAAAAGAAATTTTGCCGCTGTTTGGAGAGGACCCCGTCAAGGGTCCCTGAATCTAGCCTTGCGATGCGTTCCAACTGTATGGGGGTCCGGTGGGGTTCTCACCTCTTCGTGCGAAACATCTTTTGAAAACCTCAACATAACCACTTTAGATGCTTTAAACTTTAAAGCTATATTACCATAGATGATTCAAAGCTATATAACGATAGCTACCTTAAAGCGACATTATTATAGCTACTATAAAGTTATAATCACCATGCTCAAACAAGGGCCATAACTCTAGAGGTTATCAACAATATCTTTGAAATTCAACAGGATTCTTGGTGTGAATCAAAAAATGCATAAAATTTTCATACAGGTCGCCGGAAAAGCTTCATAATTTTTTTAAATAATGCAAGTAATTATGCCAACATATCCTTTTCATAAGTATAACACCATCCTGAATGTCACTGTTACCTGCCACAGATAAATTTCAACATTAGCAATTTTGCGCCAATAGAAATATAGACTAGAATATGTGCAGAAGGAGAACGGCGGTAATCTACCTGTTGAAATTTACCTGTGGCAGGTAACATTTACATTTAGGATCGTGTTATACTTATGGAACTTTTTAAGGGAAATTGCTGAAATTCAATAGGCTTCTTCATTTTAGTAATTTAAATAACGCATGTACATTTAATGCAGATCAGATGACAACTTTTGTCAATAGAGAGTTCACAATGTTCTACATAAAAAAAACAAGGACAATAACTGTAGATGTAATAAACAGAACTAATGTAAACAACATATTTAAATTTTGAAATAATCAGAAATAAGATGTAGTTTATGGAGTGTTCATAAGAAATTGTGGACAACAGTAATATACGACCACATTTCCATGTCGGCCCATAAAAATGAAATGAAATGGGGTTTAACATCCTACTGTTCTGCTCCTATACTGGGCTAATGAAGATGGGCATACGCCATACAGTGTGCTATGAGGGAAATTTTGCCCGGGCAGCGGCACTATCGCCTACTCTTATATCAAATTCCAACTGCCAAGGGATCTTTTATGTGCATTCCAATGTATACACGGGACCTTGGTTTTTCGTCTCATCCGAAAGACTAGACAGCTTTCCTTGTCCGGCCCTCCGTCCTGCATCACTGACAAGGGGAAACCACGGCGGAAAATCTGAATGAACTTTCTCGGCCAATGCAGGGATCAAACACCTGACCTCCAGGCTAGCGAGCCAGCGTCTTAACCACTTAGCCACCGTGATCCACGGCCCATAAAAATAAGACACATTATCTATGTTATCACCCATGGACCCAACAAACAATAACAGTCAATTAAAGGAGCTAAATCACTAATATTTATTGTGCATGCACTCTAATATTTAGGACCTGGAAATTGACACAAATGGGTTAAAACAGATATAATAATGTAATATGAATATATAAAAACTGATTTACATTCAATCGTTTCCGTTTTTACTCTAATTTCAAATCGGTTATGTTCGGCGAAATACGCCAGAAGTCTCAATCCTATGGCAATCTTTACCATCTGATTATTCTAGTCTACACCGATAGTATTTATTGTGCATGCACTCTAGATTAGAATATGTCGTCACCGTTTGGCATGCCTTGTGGAATATGTTTAGCCTCGTTCTTCGAGTCAACTGTTGGGGGGTTGGATGGCTGAATGGTTAGCATGTGCAGGCTGTATCATAAGGTCTGTCATTGAGACAACTGGCATGGTTTCGATTCCCAGTTGTACGTGACAAAGATTAGGGTCATCTGTCCAACCTTGTGGGATTTTTCCCACTGCTAAAAGACCCCTACACGCAAACGAATTATTGAAATAAAATTGAACCATGTGTTGGTCCCGAAATAACCTAGTTTGTGTTGAGTGAATGTTAAACCCCATTTCTCTCTCTCAGAAATCCATCTTTTCCCGATAAGATCACAATATCAATGTTAATTTAAATTGACAAATAATTTTTGTTTTCAATGTTGAAGACTTTGGTGGATGATATTAAGTTAGAGACATGGAATTTATGTGTTTAGTCCTATCTTACAACTTAATGCTATTTCAATCCAGCACCTCTGACAATGGAAAAAAATACTGAGTTACATTCATAGCCAAGACCACATGTGATGAAATGATTTCCTGAAAATATTTCATTTTAAGTTTTCTATCCTGTTCGCGTTCCCAAGTTCAAGAGTAGGCCTACCATTCTGTCGAAATAATTTACAACAAGAGAGAGAGAGAGAAATGGGGTTTAACATCCACTCGACACAAACTAGGTCATTTCGGGACTAACATATGGTTTAATTTTATTTCCATATTTCGCTTGCGCGTAGGGGTCTTTAGCAGTGGGAGGAAACCGGAGGACCCGGAGAAAACCCACGAGGTTGGACAGGCGAAATTTACAACAAACATCACATTTTTTCTCCAGTATGGATTCTGACATGTATCTGTAGATTACACCTCTGGGTAAATGATTTATTACAAACATCACACTGATATGGCCTTTCCCCCGTGTGAATTCTCACATGCCTACTTAGGCTACCTCGTGCTAGGAAAGATTTATTACAAACATCACACGTAAATGGTTTTTCACCAGTATGAATTCTCATGTGTGTTTGTAGATATGTGCTATCACTGAATGATGTACCACAAACATCACATCTATAAGGCTTTTCACCTGTATGAATTCTCATGTGGAGCTGTAGACTATAATTCTGGATGAATGATTTATTACAAACATCACATTTAAAACGCTTCTCCCCAGTATGAATTCTTATGTGATTCTGTAGATTACTTCTTTCAGAAAATGATTTACCACAAACATCACATTTATGGGGTTTTTCACCTGTGTGTGTTCTGATGTGTATCCGCAGAGAATAAATATGAGTAAATGATTTACTACAAACATCACACTTATAAGGCTTGTCGCCAGAATGAATTTTCATGTGACTCTGTAGATTACTTTTGTGACTACATGATTTACTGCAAACATCACACTTATAAGGTTTTTCACCTGTATGAATTTTCATGTGTACCTGTAGATTACCTTTCTGAATAAATGATTTACTACAAACATCACATTCATAAGGTTTTTCACCGGTATGAATCTTTTTATGGTGCTGTAAATTACTATTGTTACTAAATGATTTACTACAAACATCACATTTATAATCCCTTTTGACGGTTTGTCTTTGCTTACTAACATACAATTTCTGATGCCTTTCTAAATTTGTTTGTGATTTAAATTTTTGATAACACAAATCAGACTGATAAACACTTTCGACATCTTCAGTTTTCTCTTTTGTAACATTACTATAGTCATCTACATCATCAGTTTTCCCTTCTTTAGCACAACAATATTCATCTACATCATCAGTTTTCTCTTCTTTAACATGACAATATTCATCAACATCATCAGTTTTCTCTTCTTTAACATGACAATATTCATCTACATCATCAGTTTTCTCTTCTTTAACATGACAATATTCATCTACATCATCAGTTTTCTCTTCTTTAACATGTATCTTATTGTGTTTTTCTAAATCATTATTTTGTTTAAAAATTTCATCGCATACAACACACTGATAGAAAGTTAAAACATCATTAGTTGCCTGTAATATATAAAAGTTAAAACATCATTAGTTGCCTGTAATATATAAAAGTTATAACATCATTAGTTTCCTGTAACATATAAAAGTTATAACATCATCAGTTTCCTGTAATATATAAAAGTTATAACATCATTAGTCTCCTGTAATAATATATATACTGAGCGCCATGGAAAACGCATCACTTAGTTTTTCGTATAACAAAATGATCCTGTAAACATATCTTATTTATTTTGCTTCTTATTGTGAACAATATTCAAATGGGAACACATCAATAACAACACATTTGTACACTTATGGATGTTTAATCTGTAATCAAGGGTACAAAGTCAGAGGGGTCAAAACCAAAAGTACGACACAGATGTCAGTAGCGCGTGTGTCCTCCACGGGCCATCATCACAGTTGGCTACAGCATTAACGCGACCCCTGCAAATGTGTAGGGCGGTATGGTGATAAAATGTGAAGCCTCCCCACACCATCACACTACCCCCACCCCATCGATTCGTTTCAAAGACGCAGCAGTCTGCAAGACGTTCCTCAAGACGTCTCCACACATGTTGACCGCCATCAGCGTGATAAAGATGAAAGCGATTCTCATCACTGAAGAGCACACTTTGCCAGTCTACTCTTCTCCATGTCTGGTGTCCTTGAGCCCATATCAAACGCCGCTGACGGTGATGATCCCTACTTCTCTTAGACGATGTGTTGGCACTTACTGGTCCTTGTCTTCCGACGACTGCTGCACTTGTTCGAGTCGCTGGGCGGAATCTGTCACGCAGATGAGTGACCCGGATGTAGTGGTCTTGAGCCTGGGTTGTAACGCGTTGTGGACCAGGACGTTGAGGGTCACGTGTTGATCCAGTAACTCGAACACGTTCCACCAACCTTACAATAGTGGAGTGATGACAATTGCAGTGTCTGGCAATAGCACGTGTAGACATGCCAGCCCTGGACATTCCCATGGCTTCCTTCCGTTGATTTTCAGTAAGTCTCGGCATCTCTAGCTCGATTCCTTCACACGTCCAACAACAAATTACGACAGATTGACGTTTCACAGTTATGTACTGCACATTAAGTTGAAAACATGCTTTTAAAGGGCTCACACACAATGCTGCACGTGAATATTGGGTTTTTCATGTGCATCTCGTGCAATTTTTTTTTGTGCACACGGGCCGATATTTTTTGCATTTGGGAGCATTGTGTGAAACAATAGTTCATAGTATTGCATAATATTATACATACAAAACCACCTAGTAATAAAATATTTCGGAAAAAAAAGTGATGCGTTTTCCATTGCGCTCAGTATATATACAAAAAAGTTTCCTTGACCTACTCCCAGAGAAATATATATAAAATAATTACATTGAAAAAGGAAATAAACACATGTTTATGGCTAATGTTTTCAGTTCTCTTCAACCTCGTCAGGCCGTATTGATATAATATAAGAGAATGAAGTTACATGTACGTCAGAGAATAGTTACGAAACAGGTAAAAATATCAAATTAAGTACAATTCCAGATAGTAAAATATAACATCTAACTTTATTAATATTCAGTTATCCAATTTTTCGATTGAAGGAGGTCATATATTTGTTAATAAAATTCATTTCTTTACATTCTAATAAATGACTATTTTTATAATTTTCCTGGATTTTTCTGTTTTCCGGGTGCCTAATTTGCAAACGATGGAAATTCATTCTAATATCTAGTTTGTCAGCAATTTTCTCAATATATTTTTCAGAACACCCATTAGATATTATTGGATATATCACATAGTTGTATTTACAATTCACATTTCACTTCACGTGAAATTTTGTATCTTTAGTGATTTGGATTGAATCACCCTAAATTAAATACAAGCATAAAATGGCATCGTGAGTTCCTATATGGCCATTGGGGATACTGAAGGATTTGAAATATCCGAATTGAATCTTGATTTAGCCAGAATCCTGCATAAATTTGGAGACCGTTTCTGACTATTTTTTCAGAATGTATTTCAGTTTCATACTTTTAATCAGTTCACCCGGATTTGATAGAAACACATCCATGCCCTGTCAGGCACAGATTCAGGCTTTGTCAGGTTCAAAATTTCTCTTGCATGTCTGATTCTTTCTTTTTTTATTGCTATTAAGTTGGAAATGTCAGGTACTATTTCATTAGTGCCTGACATTTTGCCAGGTACATCTAAAACTGTTATTTCTAGGCCTGTTCAATCTGATTAAAACACAGATCCTATTTTGTTTCATTTCATATAGTTCAAAATTTCATTTTACTTGTCTTTACTACAATAGGATCGGGAAGATTTGTCATATTACTGGAGTTTTGGCTGAAGTGAGGGATAAGACAATGAAACGGTCTGTTACGGCGACTTCTTGGCGTGCCATGCGCGGAACTGTGGGTAAACCATTAGAAATGTCAACGCTGATTGATTAATCAATGTCTGACGCCATAGGGTCAAAACCTGCTTGTACGACCGCTGACACTACCTACCAGTACAACTTGTCATATTTTCATGTAGTGTTGGCCATCGAATATATATAAAGATAGGTTGCCAGGCAACGAAACATACGCCCACAGCAGCTAAATCGCGCGGGCAGTCAACAAGAGTTGTCGCATATTTTTACTTTTTTCGGTAATGAAACATTTATAATACACTAAAATCTGATTAAGAGTAACAACTCATGAAGTAATTATCAGAAAACCATTAGAATTTGTTTGGTTTTTATAAAGTTCTACCCCATGCTAACGTTTAGTATACAAAACTTTTAATATCATGGATTTAGCTGTTCAAGTCATAAAAATTCATTGAAATCAATATTGATTGATTCAATTTTTAAATGGCGTCATAAGCGAAGATTAACCATAACGTTGACGTCATACTCCCGGAAATTTTAGATCGAGGCTAAATGACAGAGTGTATGAAGCAAGGCCACTGTTGAGCGAGGCCGCATGTCAGTCAATTTGATTGAAAGTTCGATATATTTACGGCCTTGATAATTATGTTTAGTTGTGGTTAAAATGAGAGTTTGGATGTCGGTATTATACGCTCTTTTGTCACTTGCATTTACAGAAAAATTATGGAAAATGATAAACATCGCAGCTAACATCACCCCAGTTGAATTGCTGCCCCATTGGATCACTGTTTCCTATTTGTCTGCTTCGGAAGTTACGTAGGCCTACCAGTTAGTTACAGTACAAGAGTACACGCAGGCTAACAAGAAGTCGGCTATAATTATGCCTCATTGATTTGGTCGATTCCTTTCAAACTTTCGCTTCTTATCTATATATTAAATGTCTTATATTTAATTTGTTGTAAAAATAAATGTGATACGAATTGAATTGCAACCCTGTCTCAAACCAGATAGGCTAACGGTACCACAGCCATTGAAAACGTTACTTGATAATCGAGATTATGTAGGTTGAGTTAACGCCTGTCAATCAAACGATCAGCCATTCTCGGAGACGGTGAAGAGAGAGTTGACTCCTATTTCTTTGTTATGGTTTTCATTTGTTTAACATCACTTATTTCCTGGATTGCTTAATTAGTAAGCATATATTTTTCATGTTTATTTAGACAATGGATGTAGGGTTATGTTGTGTTTGTATTTCTTGGTGAATGGTCTCATCTTGATCACCTCATTAACTGTAATATGGTTTCACCCAATGGCCCCCTTTGAAGGCATTCATTGTTAGTCAATATTATCCTTTGGTTGGACCGTGGGTCTATTATATTGTGTTGTTTTTGCTTAATCTTTTACTTCTTATTGTTATTATTATTTAATTTTTGTAAATGGCTTCATCATGAACTCTTATATATTAAATCCAAGTTTACTAAATGTCATTGTGCTTGATAACGATAAGAAGATACTTGTCGAAATCTTGTGCTATTTGAATGAAACCAGTGATTGTTTCCCATAAAAATTGTGTTCTGTTATTCAAACATTGTAATTGCCAAGGAATGCCCTGATATAAAAATTTGATCAAACCAGGTCATGTTTATGTCACGTGACTTACCTCTCTCTGAAGTCAGAGGAGAATTCATTGCATACATAAGATGATGTTGTCTTTAATCGCTTACTATTTATTACAAATATCGAATCCTAATTAAATTCTCAGATTATCCACTACCCGCATCTTTTTTATGTCAGAAAGTGTTGTACGTCTAACTCTTCATAAAGTTTATCAACTTGTACATCAAGTGCTCAATGTTCGCATGTGACCTTTGACTTCAAGCATGCAGAAATTCCTAATCGTCGGGCTGTCGATTAGGGGAACCCTTAAATTTTTGACTTGTATACGCCCCCTTAGTGTTTTTCGGGGAATCCAGTATTTTTCTAGTAAGATTAGATATCTCTACTTTCTATATATACCAAAATTGCCATACTTTTATTGGAAATAACCACCCGATAAATACTTTTCTGGGAACCCATCTTTAAACATTAAATACTTGTAAATTGGACACTCATTATCAAAATTAATCAGTCAGCTTTAAACTGGACACATGTACAAATTAGATGATTTTTAGTGATTTTAAACAATTTTTACGAATTTTTAAACAAAGATTTGATATTAAACGAATGTGAAAGAAATTAGTGCTAGATACACAAGATTAAACGATACCTGGGTTACAGTGGATGTTCATTTATGTTGTTCAGGTGTTCCCAGGGACTACTACGGTACCACGCGACCGTTTAGCAGTAAAAAAACTGCCCAGTAAAATTGACTGGGAGTGGGAAGCCATTAGATTTTTGACAGGGTTCAATAGGACAGTTCCTGAACGTACAGGGAGAGTGTAATGAGACCTAGGTTCAGAACTGAACTACTGTTGAGACTACTATGCAACAAGATGGTGTCACTTAAATTTACCCTGCTCTTTATAAAATCTTAATCTAAAATCACCTCACCATTGTTTTGTTAACTTGTTTTGTTGTCTATTTGTTGTCTATTTGTGATGATTGTTTATGATAAAAACACAGCAGTGGATTGCTGATCGTCTCTTCTACAACTACAAGTCAGGAAAATATCTCTTCGTTTAGTAAAAAAGTCTTCGGCAAGCACGATACTGGATGTTTGTGAAGGGCAAGGTTGACTTCCGTAAAATGTTACGTCACGGAAAAAGAATTCGTTTCCGGTAGAAGGTTGTATACATTATATAGTCCCGGATCTCTCCAACCCGAGTATATTATGTAGTTCACAAAATTACTATTTCTTTGTCTGCGATATCACCTCGGTGGAAGCGGACGTAAAATACAACTAACTCACACAATACCATTTCATTTGAAATTCACTTCATTCAATAAAAAGTTCTGATTTCATCTTTTGCTCTTTTTCCGAAATATCGCCTGTGAATTCTAAGAACATAATGTTGTATAATTATGTATTATAAATGCCTCTCAATTAGGCATGTGTAAACTCCCCATAAATTCAAAACAGGAGTGTGTTTTATCTCTAAATTATCCAAGACACTTTAAAGTTATATTACCCCCACCTTCAATAGAAGGCTTGATCTCGCTTTAACGTATACGTACATCTTATCAAGGCCTTCACGTAATATCCTACATATTTCAGCACTAATTTCGATTGGGTATAAGCCCAACTTGTGAGCCTCTCAGATTCCTCGATCGTCGCGAATACCAAGTCTTGCACTTTCAAGCTAAAATGTCTACTTGTGATAATCCAGTTGCAAAGTTCAAGGTTCATTCAAAGTCAAGGTTTCCTTGAAGGTCTTGATGTCACAACCTCTGATTGGACGCTACTGCTCACGTGTCTGTAGATAACGTAGCTATAAGTTCGGGAATTGTGAAGTAAACAAGCAACGGCCAGATGTTGTGAAACTCGCAGTCGTTGCTTCAGGAACATGTATTACCGCAGATCCTTTAAAGCTATATTTCTTCAGCTGCTTTAAAGCTATATTACCCTAGATACTTTAAAGGTATAATTCCCCAAATACTATAAAGCTATACTACCCAAGCTAATTGAAAGTTATAATTCCCCATATATTTTAAAGCTATATTACCTTAATCCAGATACTCAAGATTCGAGTCAAGATTTGATTTCAAGCAAGACTGGTGATTGAAGAAGGCAGGCCACATCTGACCAGATCACCACTGCATCTTACGATTGCAACATTCAATCATACTCCTTGCAGTGTTTCATTTGATTAGACCTAATTCCACTCAAGCACTGCCGTAACGAAAGCAAATTTCTGTTTCAAATTATGACTGATCAATGCCTAACTGCGTAACAATGTCAAGGGATGCTTTTAAGGCACTGTTCAGTCAGTCGGTTTTAAGGGCGCCCACACGCCAATGGGTACCTAGTTCGTTTGCCCTGATCCAAACTTTCTTATATCACTTATGTGGAGGCTATGGGGCGCCACCACAGGCGCGGATCCAAGGGGCGGGGGGCACCATGACCAAATGCCTCTTCTAAAAATCCTGCCGCCCCTGAAAAAAAATTGACCATATAAAATACAAAATCGACTCTTAGATATCACCAGAGTGGTCGAAAAACGTGTTTCCAGCAGCATTATTTTTCAAAATTTTGTGCCCCTCCTATCACCCCTTTCTGAGTCAGCGCCTGCCCCACCAATGACATTAGAGGGTTTGTTTTAGTCACCCTATCCACATTTGATAGGGCCTTATAGGTCTTTGGGGGGCGCCGCCATCAAATGACATTATTAGAGATTCTCGTTCTTGTCGCCATATCCACATGACCTTATTGGTGTTTCGGACTAGTTCTAGTTTAGAGGACAAGAAGTTTCTTATTTTGGTGTGTTTAACATCAAAATGAGAAATAGCGCCACCGAAATTGACACACGGGATCACTTGATAGCGACTTTGATTGCGGCTCCAAGTGCATGGAAAACGTGTTTGCGGCAGTTTAATTTTCAAAATTTTTGGGGGAAGGGCCTCCCAGACCCCTCACCCCCAACCACTCACAGGCACTCATGGGCTCCTAGCGGCTCCGTGCTCAGTAACTCGGGCGCCCCCCCCCCACCACTCTGCTGCACCCCCACTTTTAAAATCCTACATACAGCCCTGGTAGTGATAACAGAATATCAGTTTTGTAAAAATAAAATTTATTTACATCAGGAACATAAATATAAAACAGCTACATAAATCTAAATGATGGTTCCGTTTATAATCCGATTGAATACAAGCCGGGAGAAAACCTAGCGTTTATAAATATTTTCATTTTGTTTTGTTAATTAAATATTAAATCATCAATTTTAGTACACATTAGCGTGGATTAGGCCATGGGAAATTTGATATTTTCAGAACAATTCAAATCGCGCAGCGTTACTTTAAAAAAGAAATAACCTTGTAATTATTACTTTAATCAGTAGAGCATATTACGGAATAAATTTAACTCTGTATTTCAATCACAGAATAAATATATACAACACATGGCCTACGGAGAGAGAGAAATGGGGTTTAACATCCACTCGACACAAACTAGGTCATTTCGGGACTAACATATGGTTTAATTTTATTTCAATAATTCGCTTGCGCGTAGGGGTCTTTAGCAGTGGGAGGAAATCGGAGAAAACCCACGAGGTTAGACAGGCGACCCTGCTTTATGATACAGCGCGCACGTGCTAACCATTCAGCCATCCCCCCCCACATGGCCTACGGAGCCGATGTGTTTGTGCAACCGTATAATATAACAAATGGTGGTGTACTATGGCAATAAACTGAGTATGACGTCATCTTGGAATTGTGACGTCATATCTAAACTCGAAATCCGTCAATTGAGGCGCAATAGTCCAAGAAACCATCATGGCTAGTTTTATGTCAATCATACATGAATTGACGGAGCCTTAGGCTTTTTTCGAAAAGCACCACCTACAAGAACAAAGACATGAATTGACGGAGCCTTAGGTTTTTTTCGAAAAGCACCACCTACAAGAAGAAAGACAAGATCAGTAGTACTAAGGGGCCAATTATTGGCCCTAAAATGATATTGCGTGGGCAATTTGCGATTTTTTTATTTAAATCACAGAATCTGCTTGAGAGAAACACAAAATATAAGTTACTAGAAGAATACCCGACTTCGCTCGGGGGTCATAACCCCGAAACCGGAAGTGGTAGACTAACGCCACCTGGCCTATGTTAGTCCCCAGTCCGCGCTGCCCCTATACACCAAATTTCAGACTCGGGGCAGACCTAGTGTAGCCGCCAACCCCGAACAGACAGACAAACGACATCACAAATATTAGTATAGATCTGATGCTTCTCAATGGTTAAATAGTTGGATTTTACGCATACAGTTGATATCTGTGATTTTTTACAGTTGCTATGGAAACCAGGAGAAATAACTATTATAGCCCGTTTTGAAAATTGCCCAAGAACCGATTTCATAATGTCGATAATGTTACCTTTCTAATTCTAATCATACCAAATAACCTTTGTTCTACCATAGGTAGAGGTATCGGAAAAAATATGGACTTAAACCGCTAGCCTGGTATGGGTTATGCCCATCTTCATTAGCCCAGTTGAAGAAGAACAGTAGGACGGCAAAACCCATTTCATTTCATTTAAAGATGGGTTCCCAGAAAAGTAATTATCAAGTGGTTATTTCCAATAAAAGTATGGCAATTTTGGTATATGGAAAGTAGAGATATCCAATCTTACTAGAAAAATACTGGATTCCCCGAAAAACACTCATGGAGCGTATACAGGACAAAAATGTAAGGGTTTCCCTAATCAACAGCCCGACGATTAAGAATTTCTGCACGCGTGATGTCAAAGGTCACACGCGAACATTAAGTGCTTGATGTACAAGTTGATAAACGCTATGAAGAGTTAGGCGTACAATACTTTCTGAGATAAAAATGACGGGAAAATACGCGGGTAGTGGAGAATCCGAGAATTTAATTAGGATTCGATATTTGTAACAAGTAGTAAGCGATTAAAGACAACATCGTCTTATGTATGCAATGAATTCTCCTCTGACTTCCAAGACGTGACGTAAACATGACCTGGTTTGATCGAATTTTAATAGCAGGACATTCCTTCGCAATTACAATGTTTAAGAAGGATTTGAAACATAATTATGACAAATTAATAAGTTTGAATATGTTTTTAGTTCATATATACCATTAAATCACCCAGTTTGTACGCGGGAATGTATCATTAAATGCCTGATAATCACTGTTTCAGTAAATTTAGTAATACAGTGGTTCTCAAATCTCAACCCTTATTTTGCCACCCTTATTGAAAATTCAATAAAGTAATTGAATGTCATTAGATAAGAGAACACGAGAAAAATAGAAATAGTCCGTACATTCCCTTGTTTATATTCATTCTGTACCTTATAAAAACATGGTAATGCACAGACTTTTTCTGTTTTTCTTTCGTGTTCTCTTATCTAATGGCAGTCAATTCTTTTTATGAATTGTCAGATATCCTCTCACAGTCTCACACAACAACTTTTGGTCTTGGAAGGAATTATTAGTGAGCAGAAATTCGGCCGTGTATCTGTTATCACTTGTCACATCAGCCAGTTGTATAGAGGTATGACTCGTGTTTTCCTTTGACGTTCGTCACTTTCGATTCAGGAAACCTGTATTACTCAGCTATCATAGCAATGATCTCTGTGTTAAAATTATATTTTGAATGTGTTTAATTAGTTCTATCACATATGTGATAATGCCTGACACCAATATTGTCTTTTAAGTGAGTAGGTCGTTATATAACGTCCTGGACAACTGCCACTCACTGTGTGTAGGGTGTAATATAACACCTTGGAGGTATTTTCCCCAACTTATTCTTAGAACATAGTTCGTCACTTGGGGTCCCCCGCGATCGCAGCATGTGTAGGACGTTATATTACGTCCTGGACAACTGCCACTCACTGTGTGTAGGGCGTAATATAACGCCTTGGAGGTATTTTCCCCAACCTATTCTTAGAACATATTATATAGTTCTTCGTCACTTCGTCAAATTAATTACACAATAGGGGGTAGTTAAAGTTTTAAAAACGTCACACTTAACAGGTTAATGCTATTCCAATCCAACACCTCTGACAAGGGGAAAAAATATTGAGTTACATTCATAGTGTGACAGTATTGGTTCTTTAATCAGGTTCGG